GCCGCCGCGACCGCCGCCGCCGCCGCCGCCGCGCTCCAGCCCGGGGCCCAAGCCCGCGGCCATCCTCCGCATCCCAGGCACGCGTCTCTTAGCCGGGCTGCGAAGGACAGGCACCGGCCGCACGTGACACACTGCAGCGGAGCGGGGGTGGGTGGGAGCCGTTGCCAGCCACGTGGGTGGGAGGCGGGCCGCCCGGCCCCTTGGCATGCCTCATTGGCCCAGCGGCCCCCTACCACCTCGCCACGTGGTCCCTAGGCGCCCCACGGGACCCCCAGCACAGAGACCCCAGGCGCCCACACGGAGATGTCGGTGGGACTCTGGCCGGATCAAGCGTTTGCTTTCCAAAGTCCTTCTTCCACTGGCCTGGTCTTTCGTGACGCTGATGGATCTTCTGTAACCAAGGAGATCATCTGGCGATCTACGCATACGCCTAACTGTTGTGATCATTAACGATCGTTTAGTCGAGTGCAGGAATTCATCTTTATGGATAGCAAAAAGGTGATGCAGTCGGTTATTGCGAGATTGGGCCTACCTCCTTAAAAAAGCTTGGTTAAGAGAAGGATGCTGCAAATGGTATTCTGAAGGAATTTGTGTTGGAGTGGATGAGAAATGCTTTTCGGGCATTTCCTCTGCTCTGGGTGGAAAATGAACGTAAAAATAGAAAATGCATGTTGTAATACAAGGATTGATCAAACCTAAGGGACCTAGAAGGATTTAATCAAACATATATATATTTAAAATAAATTTATGTTCATTTTTTCATTTCACAAGATATGTAAAGATATCCATTTACTACTTGTACATGTTGTTGTTCAGTCGCACAGTTGAGTCCGACTCTTCGCGACCCCATGGACTAGATCCCGCCAGGCCCTCCTGTCTTCCGCTGTCCTCTGAAGTTTGCTCAGTTTCATGTTCGTTGCATCGATGACACTGTCCAACCATCTCATCCTTTGCCGTCCCCGTCTTCTTTGACCTTCAATCTTTCCCAGCATCAGGGTCTTCTCCAGTGAGTGCTCCCTTCTCATTAGACTTATACATAGTCTAATAAATAAATCGTCTTTCTCATTTAACCTCCATTATCTTTTACTAGCAAGTTCTCAGTTCTACTTCAGTTTCAGCCAGGTATAAATGATTTTCCATCTATCCCAAAAACAATCCTCTGGTTTGTTCTGCAATGCTATGCTCAGTTTGTCCATTTCAGCTATTTCCAAGATTTTGTATTTGAGTTCTCTTATAGATGGTATGGTATTTGACTTCCAACGCTTTGCTATCAAAATTCTTGCTGCTGTTAATAAATATACTATTATATGTGTGTGGTTCTTTATTGTATCTGGGATCATGTTTAATAAATACATTTCTGGTGTTAGTGGTATATTAATTTTAAGTATATCTAAAACATTTTTATAGATTTTTTCCCAAAAGATTTGTACTTTGCCACACCTCCACCAAATGTGGAGGTATGATCCTGTATTCCTTCTGCATCTCCAACATCTATTGGATGCTTTCGAAAACATTTGGCAATTTTAGCAGGGGTCCAATGCCACCTGTAAAACATTTTATATATGTTTTCCTTATATGAAGTCACGCTTATATACTTTAGTGATCGTTATGTTTTTATCCATTGGTCCATTTCTATTGTGTGACCAGTCTCTTTTATCCAGGCTACCACTGGCTTTTTTATGATCTCCTCTTGTAGATCATCTTCTAATAATTTTGTGTAAACTTTCTGGATTAGTTTATCACTGGAAGAAAGCCAAATTTTATCAGTTTCACTTAGACTGGTGTAAAATCCTGTTTTTTTATCTTCATTGTACCTAGATTTTAGTACATTTTTATCCCACCAGGATAGGTTTATATTTTGTTTTTTTAATGCCTCATCTGTTTTTAACTCGGCTTTTTAACTTAATAGATTGCTATAAATTTCTTTGATTTTCCCTTCTATTAATGATGGTTTAGCAAATGCCTCTATCGGTGATATCCACAAAGGTACTTTAGTGTAGTATTTATGCTTTATTATATTCCAAACCTTCATAAGGGAGCTTCTGGTTATATGTGTGTGAAAATTTGAGTGAATTTTATCTTTCCCGTACCATAAGTAGGCATGCCAACCCATTACCAGATCAGATCCTTCTAAAGTTATTGTTCTTATATCTTCTAACTCTGCCCAATCTTTAACCCAAATCATTGATGCTGCGAAATAGTACAGTTGCCAATTAGGCAATGCAAAACCTCCTCTTTTTGTACTGTCCTGAAGATTTTTAATATTCTCGCTTTTTTAGACTGCCATATAAATTTACTTACTATTTTCTCTAGGTCCTTAAAAAACTTATAATTTTTAAGTATTGGTAAGTTTTGTGCAAGAAAAAGGAATCTTGGAAGAATGTTCCTTTTTATTGTCGCTATTCTGCCCATTAAGGAAAGATGTATTTTCTCCCAATTGTTTAAGTCTCTTTTGATTTCATTTAAAAGTCGTAGGTAATTACTTTCATATAGCGTCAATGTGTTATTTGAAATCCATATTCCTAAATATTTTGCTTTCTGTACTACATCCGTTTTTGAAATCTCTTTTATTTTTTGTATCAACTTTTGTGTGCAGTTTTTAACTATGATTTTAGGTTTTTGGAAATTGATTTTAAGGATTTAATCAAACATTATAATGACAGCTGGTACCCATGAACAGATACATCCACAAGGTCAATAGAAGGAGAATGCGTAATACTAATAAACTCAGTAAATTACTTTGGGATTAATTTCTCCTATGGATAAAGCAGCCTGGTGGCCTATTGACCTCAAAAACTTCACCTGTACTGGTTTTTAATCTGTTGTAGAAACTGACTGTAGAACACACTAAGAGGTTTTATATTGGTCCAGTATAATTAGATTTACTAATCCAATTTGGGGGTTGCATCTATGTGGGGTGTGTGTGTGTGTATTACTGCAACTGACACTGTATTGAGCATTTGAATTGTCTGAAACATGATTTTGTTGTGATTGCTGGGTGACAGGTTGTTGACAAAAGAAACTGACTTGTGGGAGCTGTGGATGTCTGCTGCATTTACTTGTAAGGGTGGGACCTCAGGCAGTCCTATGAGGGGATTATATGTATGTTTGTGTGTAAAGAACTGGAGTTGGCAGGGTTTTTTTTTTTAAGCTGATAGAGAATGTCTAGCAGAACTGAAGATGCCGCCTGGAGGGGAGAGTGGCACATGCTCTCCGGGTAAAACGGATAAAAGGAAGTACTTCTTCACCCAAAGAGTGATTAACACATGGAATTCACTGCCACAGGAAGTGGTGGCGGCTACAAGCATGGACGGCTTCAAAAGGGAATTAGATAAGCATATGGAGCAGAGGTCCGTCAGTGGATATTAGCCACAAGGTATAGATAGGGGCTCTGGGGCAAGTGATGCTCTGTCTTCTTGGTGCTTGGTGGGGGTCAACAGTGGGAGGGCTTCTAATGTCCTGGCCCCACTGCTGGACCTCCTGATGGCACTGGTATTTCTGGCCACTGTGTGACACAGAATGTTGGACTGGATGGACCTTTGGCCTGATCCAACATTGGCGTCTCTTATGTTCTTATGTTCTTATCTGCTGCCTGCTGAAAGACTATTTACATCTAATGTGATCTACTTGTATATTTGTCAATAAATCAAATATTAGACAGGCACTGTAAGTCTGTAGTGCTCTATGATCCAAAAGAAGCTAAGCCACTGCTGCCACTGGTAATTCCAACAGCTTGGAGAAGAGGGGAGCATTTAACAACTGCACAACCTGCAAAAGCTTCTGCTAGAATAGATGTGATATTGTTTAAGATGCCACTTTTGCTGCAGCAGACCAGCATAGCAACCCCATGGATTCTTAGATGCTGTGAGCTCATTTTCGCTGACATAAGACTACACAGATAAAGTTTAAAACAAAACATAGCAAAATTACCATTTCCCCCAACAACCAGGCAGGCTTAGTTCCATTCCATGAGAAAATGCTTGATATTGTTGTTCAGTCACACAGTCAAGTCCAACTCTTCAAACCCCATGGACCACATCACGCCAGGCCCTCCTGTCTTCCACGATCCTCCGGAGTTTGCTTAATTTGATGTTCATTGCATCGATAACACTGTCTAACCATCTCATCCTTTGTTGTCTGTTACCTTCAATCTTTCCCAGCATCAGGGTCTTCTCCAGTGAGTGCTCCCTTCTCATTTGGTGGTCAAAGTATTTGAGCTTCGGCTTCAGTATCTGGCCTTCCAGGGAACAGTCAGGGTTGATTTCTTTCAGGATTGACTGATCTGATCTCCTTGTAGTCCAGGGGACTCTTAAGAGTCTTTTCCAGCACCATCATTCGAAAGCATCTGAATGCTTGATATACCCAGACCTTCAAAAAGTGCTAAGAGAAATTTATTTATTTACTTTATTTGTAGCCTGCCTTTCTTTCTGAGAATCAAGGTGGAGTATAACACACACACCCTGCATGCTACAAGACAAGATCCACATCTGGAAATGTACTGTGTGAAAACCTACAAAAATAAGAACTAAAAAAAAATCAATTAAATGTGGTTCAGTTCTGTGCAGCTTTATTTTTGGTCTGGCTTTGTCTAAATTTACTTCCATTTGTCTAAAATTGTGGGCCCAATTGTGTACAGTTAGAAGGAAGTTCCAGTGAAATCAATGGGGATATTTCCAAGATGCTTATGAGCAGGGCATCATATTGCATTCCAGCAAGCTGTTTTGCTAAGGAGACATGAGCTTGCCGTATAAGGAGTCTCTATTGGTCTGTCAAGGTCAGTGTTGTTGACTGGCAGCAGCTGTCCAGGGTCACAGGCAGAGGCCTTTGACATCACCTACTGCATGATCTTTTTGCCTTCGAGATACTCAGATGGAGCTCGTACATGCAAAGGAAGAAACATAACCCTTATTTTTAATGGGAAAAAAACTATGAAGGCAATGAAATTGTGAGGCTGGGAATCAAATAGCATAAAGTGAGATTCCAGGTTAATATAATTGACAAGGGAAGCAGCAGTTATCCTGCAGAAAACATGTAGTGCTTTGCATCACTTTAGCCTGCAGGTGGCGCTGTTATTGCAGACAAACCTTTTAGTTTAGTATGTTGTTGAAGACCTGGGTTTTAGTTTGGGTTTGGTGGGTCTTGGTGCTCTAGAAGTTAGATATAAGAGTCTCTCTTTTTGGAAGGGCTGTGTGTGTCATCTTTGAATC